TAATTATCAAACATTCATATGATTACTTACCCTAGTTGAGTGGGATGAGGGAGAAAATGAGATAGAGTTTGGGTTTGGAGCAGGTAAGAGGGATCCTCACCTTGACAGTTAATTGGGCTTTGAAGGCTGTGATGCCCTGAAGAAGGGCTGCTCTGAATGACCCCACCCCCGGGAGTGAGGTAGTCTGCTGGGGGTCAGAGCTTGCTTCACAGGTTACAAGTTGGGTGCTGTCTTTTAAAATTATTAATAAAAGTGGCTAGGAAAGGTGTCTGGACCTAATAGGTAACATTTTGGGTTGGTTAGAACCTTGGCTTGTCTAATTGGGCACAAGTGGACATGTTAGTTAGGCACACAGACTCTAGCTTTGCCAGAGGCCCTGTCTGGATCCCAAGTGGTAACAGCATTGGGCAGACTTTGTAAGGGTGAAAACTGGTTGCCACAGGAGTTGGGCAAGCAGGAGGTGCATTTACTTCCTGCCTGAGCCTTACCAAGTTTGTTAAGATCTGTCTGGCCCAATTTCTTTTCTTTTCTTTTTTTAGGGATGAGAGTGCAGTTCTTCTGGAGTAAAGTTCCCTTTTATACCTTCATCTTTTATGTAGGGAAGAGAGTAGGATTTCGCTCTGATAAAAGGGGTCTGAGCTTGTGGATGCATTTTCTTTCCTCCTTCCTTCTGATCCCTATTTACAGAAATCGGTTTTAAGGGTTATAAACTGTTACTTCTGCCTCATTTTCTTCCTGACCACTTGCTGCTGATTCAGATTACAGCTATTGACATTTTAATAAAATCCCATGAATGCATTTGAAGATTTTGCATTAACCTCTAACACCATTTAATCAGTACTTCTTGGTGCCTCACACCAATAAATTATATATCTGCATTTTATCTAGGAAGTATTGACCTTCAGCACCAAAGGGTTAAGTATACCATTAAGACAAGCAGTAGTTATTTGTCTAATAAGTGTCCCTGGCACTTTGACTGGCTTGATTCAATTCAATTTACTAATTCACATAATTCTTTTTTTAAAACTTGTGTACATTTTTCTATTGAGCATATGCAAAAATTGAAATATATCTTAGAAAATAGGATTGTGTAGTGCCTCCATACAGGGGAATATTATGCAGCAATTAAATTGTTTATGAAAATTTTCTAGGGGCGCCTGGCTGGCTCAGTTGGTAGAGCATGCGGCTCTTGATCTCAGGGTTGTGAGTTCAAGCCCTGCATTGGGCACGAAGCCTACTTAAGAAAACAAAACAAAAACAAAACAGAACAATTTCTGATGGTGTGGAAAGGTGTGTACGATATGCAAACTGCATATGTGGTACTCTCTCATCAGTATTAAGAAATATTGACATATACGAACAAAGAGAAAGAAGACTCAGGCAGAACAGAAGTAAACCAAATGTGACTAGTGAGTGCTTCTGTCTGAATGAGAGGATTAAGAATTACTGACATTTTCTTTTCTTTTTTTAGAGATTTTATTTATTTTTGTGATAGAGAGAGACACAGCGAGAGAGGGAACACAAACAGGGGGAGTGGGAGAGGGAGAAACAGGCATCCTGCGGAGGAGGGAGCCCGATGCGGGGCTTGATCCCAGGACCCTGGGATCATGATGTGAGCCGAAGGCAGACGCTTAACCATCTGAGCCACCCAGGCGCCCCGAATTACTGACATTTTCATTCTATATTTTTACTTTTCTGTTGTTTCTGTTGTTGTATGCAGTGTTTAACCTGGACTGGGTGTCACTTCTGCAATAAAAAATAGATCTAATAGGGGATTGTAAATCATTTTACCACCTACCTCAGGAAAGATTTAAAATATAGTGAACATGCAAGTTTAAATTAATGCTTTCTCTGAGAGACAATGTATAATTGCCCCTTACACGTTTTTAAAATTCCTGAGAGTTTTCCATTTAGCACTTGAAGTTATCTTGTGTGTCAACATGCAGTGTTCCCCCAGATTGGTGTTTCTTCAACTGGGGATGCCAGTGTTAGCTCCCCAGTTTGCCGCAGCTGTTTGGGGAACAGTAATTCAGAGTTTCACAAAATTAATGGCAGTTATGAAAATCCTGAAGCATTTTAATTTTACTTCTCCATCCTGTGAAATTAGGTTATTTTATTTTTAAAATAAGCTTTTTATTGAAGTATAACACACATTCATAAAAGGGCACAAATCTTACAAATTTTCATAACCCTGGTAACCACATCGTTCTATTTTTGTTTTATTGTCTTTGACAAAATTTCACAATCCTACATAAGAAAGTACATTTTTGTTCAGGGTTCTGCGGTCTCCAGAATTTACACTCAAGATATTTTGTACTTTTTGTTCTCATAATTGCATTAAGTCTTTGAGTTTTTACATTTTTCAAGGAGCTCTAAAGTTTCATTCAGAATATTGTCATTATTCTTAGTTCAGGGTAGGAAAATTGGCCCTTACAGATTAAAGATGCAAAATAATAACTGCAAAGTTATTGACATCTAGCCTCTGCAGATTTCATTTTTCTTTCATTCCCAACTGTGGCAGTGCTTTGCCCCAGTCGGCTGGTTGTGTGGAACTTGATTCCTGGGCCTCCGCATATGATACAGCTTAGGTTGCTAATCTAAGAAGAAGCAGATCAGCAGCCAGTGGTAAGTGTGTCAGGCCTAGAAACCCTAGACCGAGCTGGGAGGAACTTTAGAGGTCATTAGCCTACAATAGGGAAACTGAGTCTTGGAAGGTTACATGCCTTGCCCAGGGTCGCGGACTTGGCACCAGAGCTGAATCTAGAATCCTGGTCCTAAACCCCATTATAAACCATGCTAAGCCCCTATTCTCGTCTTTAAGCTCACCCTTTCTACTAAAAATTCAACCCTCAGACTGTGAAATCGACTTCTCCAGAAAGATAAATAACCTAACACGTTTTTCAGCCAAACTTCTTAACGGGGATGACCTAACAGCATCGACCTGCTTTGGAAAATAACCCTTGGGTTACTTCGGGTGAATGAGGGATGGTGTGGGGATAGTATAAATGCCAGTCTGTAATTGTTTAGAGCAGTTCTGGGAGTGCATTCAACTGGAATAACCCTGGCAATAGGGAAAGTGTGGCGTGATGTCGACTTGTGACCCTTCCCTGGGGAGTGAGCTATGTCAGGAGACATGGCAGTGCTTCTGGAATACGGTCTCTTGTCTGTTCCTGGGCACTGGACAGGGGGACAGGCTACGGTGCCTGGGAAATGACCATCGGTGTGTTATGACTTTTTGTTTTTGAGATTTTGTTTCAGTTGACTAAAGGTAGATCAGTAAATAAAGCCTCTCTTTGATTTTCCAAGGGAGGCCAGACAACATATATTTCGTAAGTGTTGTTCACTGTGGTGAGCCCTGGGGACTTAGGGCTTAATAAAACATGTCTGTAAGGACTGAAGTCTATGGGGCTGGCAGTTCCAAGGAGAGGTCACCACTGCCCTCCAGAAATCTCGGTTCTGTTGGTATGCTGGATTCACGACATGCGTAGGGTCTCATCAGAGCCTACTGACTTTTGCCTGCCTGCCTGTTTATCAGAAAGCATACCTCCTCAGGCCCACCTGCAGCCATCCTTGGCCTGACCTTCAGTGCTGTCCACAGTCCCATCCACCAGCCCCATTCTGACCTTTCTCACTCTGTTCCCAGAGGGCACGGCTTCCTCAGAGGCCAGGCTGATTGTTCCGTGCCCGAATATCTATGGCTGTCCTTACTTTTTTGAGCTTTTGAGCATGTTTTCACCTTGTTTAGATTGCCCCCTCCTCCCCTTCTTCTTCAAATCCTGCCCAGCCTTCAAGGCCCAACCTAATTCCCACCTTCTCTTGTCGGAGCTCCTGTGGCACCTCTCCCCCTCCCCCGCTGTGGGTGACAGCCATGGCTCAGCCTGCTGGGGAAGAGAATGGGCTCTGGAGGCTGTGTCACCTGGGGCTGGAGCCTTTCCTGAATCTAGACCTCTTCATCTGTAAGAACGGGAGTAACCAATTGTCCTTGGTCCACAGTTGGGCCGACTAAATGAGTTCATACCATTAAAGCCTGTGGAGCAAACAGTACGTGGCCTGTAAGTTCTCATTAAGTATTAGTTGTTATTCCTTCTCACATGTATTCAATCCGGTCTTCCTTGTGCTACTGTCTCACCACTTTAAGTCGCCATTTGTGGGCCTCTAGTGAAATTATAAAGCCCTCTCATGAAGAGAGTCTGGATTTTATACTTTCTCTTGACCCTTTTCAGTCCTACCTGCGCATATAATAACTCCCCAAAACATAGCCCTTAAAATGGAGCTGTTACTGTCTTAAAAGAAAATAGATGGAACCGAGGTTAAGGAATTGAACAGAAAAGATAGGCTTCAGTTCACAGATGGAGTTTTCTTACGATTCTCAGAGCGTGTCATTTGTTCCTATTTGCACTGTTGTTGAGTCGAATGAGCTCTTCTGTCACAGTCACTAGAAGTGTGAACATCGTGTAGCAAGGATGCTAGCAGTTTCCGAGGCTGCCTTAGACACGCTTCTTCTCTGGGCCCGCGGCAGAAGGGAATCTTGAGACGGTAAACTCTGGTGTATCAGGATACCTCAGAGCCAGTGGGCCATGAACGGGCCATTGCTAATACGTCTCCCTTGCTGAGGGGCGTAGGAGAGTCACCGGGGTGGGGGTGTGTGTGTGTGTGTTGGGGTTCCCACACCTTCAGCCACCCTCTCTCTGCTTGTCCCTCCCCCTTAATTAGCAGCTCAGGAATTCACAAGCACCTCGGCTCACAACATGTGGAGGAAATCAGGTCACTCTCCGGCGGTGGGAAGAGGTGGGGACCCAGGCCGAAAGAAGCACTCAGTGAAAAGCCAGTTGCAGACGGTTGGGAGTCGTGGTGTTGAACGCCGGAGCTGCCGGAGGGGTCTTTTGCCACCCCCCCCCATCCGCAACCGGCGAGTCTGGGACTTCAGCCAGGGTCTCCCGCAGAGCCCTGTGGGTGTCCTTCCCCTGATGATGAGAATGCCACATTTCTCCTTCTCCTAGGCTGGAACAAGACATTAAAAAGTTAAAGGCCGACCTGCAGGCCAGCAGACAAGTGGAACAGGAGCTCCGCAGTCAGATCAGCTCCCTCTCCAGCACCGAGCGGGGGATCCGCTCTGAAATGGGCCAGCTCCGGCAGGAGAACGAGCTGCTGCAGAACAAGTACGTGCACCTTGTGGGCCTTTGGTCGTGAGCCGAGCGACCTCACTGTTCCTGTGGCTTCCAGGGACTGGAGCAAAAGATGTGTGATGACAAAGGGACCTGGCAGAGGGGGTTTTAAATGAAATGTTTAAAATCTTTAATGTAGTACCAGATATTCAACATGTTACAAAATCTATAAAAACTTGTTTCATCACAACAGAACAGTTTATTAATATTACTGTTCTTTCTTTTTTCATTTATTAAGTTCTTCTCTTAGTTTAAAATAGTCATTGAGCTTTTGTGATACTATAAGTAAAACTGACGAGCAGTCGTTCTGCCACAATTTGAAAATCTTGCTCCTTTGAATGAAAGTTTCCAGAGGAAAAGACTCTATTTATTCATATCTGGAACTAAAAAATGACATTGAACTTTGATTTTATTTGAAGAGGCAAGCCAAAAGCCAGCTCTTCTGTGTGAATTTGTTTATGCTTCCCATTGATTCATCCTGGAATTACTTCTTGACTCAATATTGATCTTTTTTTTTTTAATCTCTCAGCAGTGTGCATGCCTGGGGTAATGATTACTATGATAGGCTCTGGGCTTTCCCCATTGAAAGAGGAATCGTTCAACATTCTTGAGGAACACAACTCAAAGCTAGAGCATTATAAGCACGTAACTTCTCCATTGCTTCTGACCCATATACCTAATGGCTCACACTGACAGAGGGCATCTCACCTTACTCTGATACTCTGAGATGAACTCACCTTGTACTGATATAGAGAGCTGGGGGTGGTAGTAGGCAGGGAAGGGAATATGGCTGAAATTTCTATCTGAAATTAAGCACCCTGTGACTCTAACTCTGGGGTCTATTTTGGGATACTTTGAGAAAACATCTCACAGCTGGAAAAGGAAAGGCTGCAGCATGATAATAGTATTCAGGCAGAGAAAAACCTTCCCCATCCCACCCTTTACCTTGGCTTCTCTGGGGCTGGTTCCATCAGTAGTTCTGTGATCAACTCCGGTTCTCTCACGGTGCTTTGGGGCACAACTAGAATTAGTTGTACAGCTGTCTTTCCCTCTGATAGAAACTTGTTTTATCCTTTTTCCTGGATTGCCTTCTGTAGATCGCTTACCGTAGTAGGGCAAAGGTTAGGTCTTATTCTGTATGTTGTTAGGCAGCTTGTTTGTTGGTGTTTAGGAATTGTTAAAGAATAACGACAATATGTTTTTCCCGGGCACTCTGGAAGCTGACATTTATGATTGCTGTTCAAAAGAGGAGCCACGTTTCTCCAGGGTTTCTAGTGGGCATTTCTAATGATGAAACTCTGTATGATAATCATTTCCATATAGATTACATAATGCTGTGCAAATGAAGCAAAAAGACAAACAAAATATCAGCCAGTTGGAGAAAAAGCTAAAAGCTGAGCAGGAAGCCCGAAGTTTTGTAGAAAAGCAATTAATGGAGGAGAAAAAAAGGAAGAAGTTGGAAGAAGCTACTGCTGCCCGGGCCGTTGCATTTGCTGCCGCGTCTAGGTATGTCCATACCGCTCCCCCCACCCCGACCCCCCACCCCGCTCCCGGCGCTGCATCTTGGGCCTGCCTTGCACCAAGACCCAAGACCAGCATGGGAGTTTGAGGCCTCAGGCAGCGTTGAAATACAACCATCACGCACTGATAGGTTGCCACCAAGTACTGTTTCCTGAGATGGCCAAGGCCCATCCATACAACTTGCGTGGTCTTGTAACAGCTTCATCCCTCAGTGACCTCATCTAGGGAGCGGGATGTGGGCGTCACCATGCCTCCCACACCCAGGAGGCAAAGTGCTGCTCGTAAAAGGGTTTCCGGTCACTTTCTGTGTGGCCAACAACTACTAAACACTTGGAGAGATTCCAGTCTGGAATTTCGTGCCCTTTATTTATTTTTTTTTTAAAGATTTATTTATTTATTTGAGAGAGCGAGAATGAGAGAGAGAGAGAGTACATGAGAGGGGGGAGGGTTAGAGGGAGAAGCAGGCTCCTCGCCTAGCAGGGAGCCCGATGCGGGACTCGATCCAGGGACTCCAGGATCATGACCTGAGCCGAAGGCAGCCGCTTAACCAACTGAGCCACCCAGGCGCCCCTCGTGCCCTTTATAGAACTGTCATTACTCTCTGCTCTCAGGTATATGTGTTTCTGAAGTTTTTATCTTAAAATAGAAGAAAGGAAAATCTTGGTTGCCCAAGTCCTTTGTATTGACTTACTGACTGCTCCTGTCTTTGTCAGGTATCAGCAAACTGTCACATGAGCTGGAAAAGATGAAAAAAACAAAACCATAAGTCATTATTAGGTATCATTGAATTTGTGGAGGGCTGAGAATTGGGGACTACTTCTATACTATTGAAAAGTATTCAAGTATTCCAGAAACTGAATTCCAGCCAGGAGGGAAGAGCCTTAAGAGCCTTCACTTTATGGCTTTTTCTTTTCTTTGTTTTTTTTTTTTTTTTGACTAGCAAAGTCCATCTGCGTGGCGGGGGTCAGTTATGGGTTTATAGTTGCAGAGTGAGGATACATTATGATTGATTTCATTTTAAATTTTTATCGTAATTTGTATTGATATAATTCTTTTTTAAAAAATATTTAATTTATTTATTTGAGAGAGAGAGCACATGAGCAGAGGGAGAAGCAGGCTCCCCGCTGAGCAGGGAGCCCAATGTGGGACTCGATCCCAGGACCTTGGGATCAGGACCCGAGCCGAAGGCAGACGCTTAACCAACTGAGCCACCCAGGCACCCTCGATATAGTGTAATTCTACTGTAATTCTTCCTTAAGTTTTTCTTTTTTGTATGTGGCATGTTAAAAGCCTTCTTTTGGGTTCTGGCATTGGTAGAAGAACTGATGGATCATCATTTCACGTTTAAGGAAATAATAGCCAGAGAGAACTCTTTCCTCCTCTGGGCTCCTGCCTCCCCCAGCCAACTCTATAGTGCAGATGGCTGAGCTCACTTGGCCCATCAGCATCCAGACAGACTCACAAGACACCTCACTAGCCTGCCTAGGATGTGGGGGTTTTGTTTGTTCATTCGTTTAAAGATTTGTAAGCACAGACCTCTGTAAAAAGTACACGTTTCTGAAGCACTTAGGCTTGCAGGAGATTTTTCTGAACAGTCATTCATGTGGCCTGTGCTGTCCTTAATTCATCCAGCACCTCCTACCCTGAAAAAAAGTCCACTGAGGAGGATATGACAGTTCCTTAACCGTACTGTTCAGTATCTTATGCCTGAGAATCAGTACATTGGTTTTAATCTCTTCCCTGACTCCCTTTTGCTTCCAGTCAAGCTTATTTGTTTTGATCTTATCCTTTGATGGTCCTCGTTTACCATCACTTAGGTAGAGGCTGTTTTTATTCTCAAGTAAATCTCAAGGTGTAGGTCCCTCACTGGACCTTCCTTTTTGGTGGGCAGAAGACACCAACCTTCTCCATCTGGCTATTTCTGAAACCTAAACGGTTAATCAGCTTTGGACTGGCTATTGCCATCATCTTTTTTAGTTTGTTCTTCTTACAGCCCTGAGAAGCAACCTAACGCTCTGGCAACTTCATGACTCAAGAAAGTGAACTTTCCAAGGCATAGACCCTCAAAAGTGAAAAATTTTTTTAGCTCACTGCCCCCTGCTGGAGATAGTACACATCCAGTTTCTTGCTCAGCTCCCGGGTACTGTCTCAGGTCATGTGGCCTGGGGGGAGCTTGCTGCATTGGGAAGCTGGAAAGCCTCCATTCTTATCCCTGGATTTCTGTGACCTACCAGCTAGGTGAGGTTGGACTGGTATTATATCTGTGTAGTCTTAGTTTTCTTCTCTGGAAAATGGGACAATGTATCCTACCCTTGCAAAGAAGGCAGAATGGGTAAAGTACCTCACTTGGTGCCTGGTTCATATTAGATACCCAATTAATTGTCTCAGATCATTGTTGAAATTGTCAAAGAACAGAGAATGAGTAGACTGAGCCAAAAGCTAAAACCGGACAGACTCTGGAGTATAAGAGAAATACCAGTCTTGCAGCATAAGTAAACCTCTAGTCTTTTAAATCCTTTTCTTTCCTTCTCTTCTTTTGCAAAAGGGGGGAGTGCACCGAAACCTTACGGAATCGGATCAGAGAATTAGAAGCAGAGGGCAAGAAGCTCACGATGGACATGAAGGTGAAAGAAGACCAGATCAGAGAACTAGAACTGAAAGTTCAGGTATGGGGAGCACAAAAAACTTTCTCCTACTTGGATTCTCCTTCTGTGTTAGCTGTGTGCTCAGTGTTGCAATGTGGAGATGGTGCCTTTTTGTTTTATTAAGATTTTATTTTATTTATTTGAGAGAGAGAGAACACGAGTACACAGAGGGAGAGGGAGAAGCAGGCTCCCCACTGAGCAGGGAACCCGACACGGGGCTCGATCCCAGGACCCTGGGATCATGACCTGAGCCGAAGGCAGACGGTTTTGCTTAACCGACTGAGCCACCCAGGAGCCTTGAGATGGTGCCTTTTGATAATAGGCCAAATCCCACTGCATCTGAAAATCTCTGTATGACAAAAAAAAAAGCTCTAGCCTTGTCCAGCTCATTCAAGTAGTATTTAATTAGCCAGATTCTAATACAACCAGAAATGTTGACAGTCTTTTGACACAGTTTATACCGGAATTGGACCTACTGTAGGTTCATTTCACTTTTTCAGGTTATAGGCCAGATTAGTGTGCTTTGGAGCTTTTGCATCTCTTCTTAGCCCTAACCCTCTGTCCATCACCAGGGAATTGACTGTTCTGAATGGCTCTCAGCCTTGTAGATTGCAATTCTGAGCAGTGCATGATGGGGAAAGCGGCCAGTGCTGTGGACACAACCGCTGGGCGGTGTGTATCTTAGCCCGGTATTTGGCATTGGTTCTCCAAAGGGACATTTAAAAGTGATGTCACATACCGTGAAGTTACAGTAATTTGAATCACGTGGAACTGGTAGGGAATTATGGGCAAGTCGGTGGAGTAGGATAGATGCCCTAGAGACAGAGCCTGAAGTCTGCAGTAAAAGTAGCAGCACAAATGGATGGGGAACAGTGAGGACTGGTCAGAAAAAGGCTTCAGAACGTTAGATAACTAGAAAAAAAGAATAAAATTAGAAGCTCATCTCATGGGGCGCCTGGGTGTCTCAGTTGGTTAAGCGTCTGCCTTCGGCTCAGGTCATGATCCCAGGGTCCTGGGATCAAGCCCCATGTCGGGCTCTCTGCTCAGTGGGGAGCCTGCTTCTCCCTCTCCCTCCTGCTTGTGCTCTCTCGCTATCCCTCTCTCAAAGAAATAAATAAATAAATCTTAAAAAAAAAAAAAGCTCATCTCATACCATACAAAAAGAAATTTCAGATGGAGTTAAATATAGGCAGAAAAGAAAAGCATTTTATTTTAAACCAGAATTTGATCTTGAAACCAGGAAGAACTTTCTTTTTTTTTTTTTAAGATTTTATTTATTTATTTGACAGAGAGAGCACAAGCAGCTGACATAGCAGGCAGAGGGAGAGGGAAAAGCACGCTCCCCGCTGAGCAAGGGAGCCCGATGTGGGGCTTGATCCCAGGACGCTGGGATCATGACCCGAGCCAAAGGCAGTTGCTTAACCAACTGAGCTACCCAGGTGCCCCAACCAGGAAAGACTTTCTAAACAAAAATAATGGAAGAAATCATAAAGCCAAAAAAAAAAAAAAGAAAAGAAAAAAAAAATCAGTTGCAGTGAGTACAGATATTGCAACAAATATAAGGAATTAATACTCTTGATATGTAGGTAGCTCATAAAATTTGTTAAGTAAAGCTCAGATATTCAGAAAAATAGGTAAAGAATATGAAAAAATAATTCACAGAAGAAAAATAAATGGCTGATAAGAATATAAGAATATATCCTCATCAATCACCAAAGACCTATAGATTAAAATTAGATATCATTTATCTCCTGTGAAATTTCTGTTTCTTTTTTTTAATTGCAGTAAATTTGGCACACAATGTTACATTAGTTGCAAATGCACAACATAGTAGTTCCACAACTCTGTATGTCATGCTGTGTCTGTCACCCTACAACCCTATGATGTTACAGTACCGTTGACTCTGTGCCCTATTCTGTACCTTTTATCCCCTTGATATTTATTCTGTAACTGGAAGCCTGTACCTCCCACTCCCCCTCACCCATTTTGCCCACCCCACCAACTCTCTGTATCTTTGACTCTGTTTCTGCTTTTGTTTGTTTGTTTGTTTGTTCCTTTGTTTTGTTTTGTAGATTCCTCATATCAGTGAAATCGTATCTTTGTTTTTCTCTGTCTGGCTTATTTCACTTAGCATAGTATCTTCTAGGTCCATCCATGTTGTCACAAATAGCAAGATCTTACTCTTTTTTATGGCTGAGTAATATTCTGTGTGTGTGTGTGTGTGTTCATCTTCTTTATCCATTCATCTCTCAATGGACACTTAGGTTGCTTCCATATCTTGGTTATTGTAAATAATGCTACAATAGACATAGGGGTGCATATCTCTTTTGGAATTAGTGTTTTTGTTTTCTTTGGGTAAATACCCAGTAGTGGAATTACTGGATCATTTGGTATTTCTACTTCTAATTTTTTGAGGAGCCTCTGTGGCCGCACCAGTTTGCATTCCCACCAGTACTGCACAAGGGTTCCCTTTTCTCCACATCCTCACCAACACTTGTTAGTTCTTGTCTTTTTTTTTTTTTTTTAAGATTTTATTTATTTATCTGAGACAGAGAGAAAGAGAGAGAGCACATGAGAGGGGGGAGGGTCAGAGGGAGAAGCAGACTCCCTGCCGAGCAGGGAGCCCGATGCGGGACTCGATCCAGGGACTCCAGGATCATGACCTGAGCTGAAGGCAGTCGCTTAACCAACTGAGCCACCCAGGCGCCCCTCGGTAACTGTTCTTGTCTTTTTGATAATAGCCATTCTAACAGGTGTGAGATGATTTTGTGGTTTTGATTTGCATTTTTCTGATTAGTGTTATTGAACATCTTTTCATGTGTTGGCCATCTTATGTCTTCTTTGGGAAAAAATCTGTTCAGATCCTCTGCCCATTTTTAATCAGATTATTTGGGTTTTTTGGTGTTGGGTTGTATAAGTTCTTTATATATTTTGGATATTAATCCTTTGCAGAATATATCATTTGCAAATATCTTCTTCCATTCGTTAGGTTGCCTTTCCATTTTGCAAAAGTTTTTTATTTTGGTATAGTCCCAGTAGCTTATTTTTGCTTTTGTTTCCCTTATCTCTTGTGAAATTAGCAAAGAGTTTTTAAATAATAATATCAGCCTGGGTGAGGATGAATGAAACAGGCCTCATAATTGCTGGTGGAAATATAACTTTCTGGAAAGGGTCATGTACTTTTTAAGTATTTCCCATTTTACAACTCCTGCTTAAGATAAATATTTAAAAATCTCGTCAATGATTGATACACGAAGATGTTCATCATAATGGTATATAAATGAAAAAAAAAAAAAACAACCTTAACTAAGAAAGGGAGATTTGTTTCATAAATTATGATACATGTAAATAGGAATATTATACAGCCATTAAAAATTACATTTCCAAAGAACAGTTGAGATTATATAAGTTTTTTAAAAACTGTATACAAAACTGTCTATAGTATGGTTTCATTTATGCTAAAAGATACACATATGCTTATAAAATATTAAAGGGAAATATATAGTTTTTCGCAGTGTCAGGATATGGAGTGATTTTCATTTTCTTCCTTGAACTTTAATATATTTCTAAATTCTCTGTAATATGTTTGGATTTCTCTCTTAAAAAATTAAAATACCTGTATGTGTATATATATACATATACATATACACACACACACATATATAATATGTATTAAAATATATATTGAATATATTGCATATTTTGTATATTAAATAAATATATATCATGTGTTACATATTATATATAATATAAAATAAATATATGATATATATTAATATATAATATATATTATATATATGGGCTACATTACCAGATGTTTTAAGTGGGCTTATTCTGCAGTATGTCCTGTCAAAATAATGAACACTTTTATTATAATTTTTAGTGCAGGTTGAGAGTAGAGTTTTGGCAAATTTGATTATAGCAACATTTGCAGCTGGTAGCAAGGAACAAGTTCTTTGTGGTTCTTCTGAATTAGGCTTGTGAGAAAGTGTTTCATTTGGAGACCAGTCCATTTTTACTAGAAACAGCCCAACACAGTCAAATTTATCTACTAAAATATTTTTGTATGTCATATCATCATATAAATACATCTTGCACTTAGAGGGATCTAAGTGGTGAGGTCTTAACCCATGAAACACCAGGATTCTGTATTCTAGGGGCCAGGTCAGTAATAGCGGGATTTTATTTGTGATTTCAGGCTAATTTGTAGACATCGATGCCCAAACTATCTTGTAACATCTTGCTGCTTTGATGATGTTGATAGGAGCTTCGGAAGTATAAGGAAAACGAGAAGGACACTGAGGTGTTAATGTCAGCCCTCTCGGCCATGCAAGATAAAACACAGCACCTGGAGAACAGTCTGAGTGCAGAGACGAGAATCAAGCTGGACCTGTTCTCTGCACTGGGGGATGCAAAGCGACAGCTCGAGATCGCCCAAGGTAGGAGAGCAGCGGGCTCCAGATGAAGTGGTATGGCTAAGAATGCGCAGGGACGCAGAGAGCAGAGGTCCCTTAGAGCTCAGAACCAAAGGCATTCAGTTTTCTTTTTAAGTGGTTTGAGAAGTGCCCAGCGTTGATATTTAGGAATCATCACATTAATTTATTCTGCAGACATATTTTGAGGTGAGAATAGGTCAAGTGCAGGGCATCCAGAGAAGAGTATGAATTTCTGTGCTCAAGGAGCTCACGGTGTTGTTGAAGAAATAGAGAGCTGCAGAGCCACCAAAAGGTGCTGGTGCTGCGGTATGTACAAGGTTGTGGGAACAGAGGGAGAAGCAGAGACCAAGCCCGTGTGGGAGTTCGAGAGAGCTGTTTCCCAGGGGAACTGATGTCTGAACTGGGTTTTGAATGATGAGCAGGGGTCAGCCCAGTGAAGAAGCAGTGTAGGGGGGTAAGGGGCAGAGAGGCCTGGAAACAGAAGAAACCGCTTGGGCCAGGCCAGGGAAGCTGTGTTCCGAGCCACAGGTGGCTCTGCGTGGTTACAAACGAGCAGCCTCTAGAGAGCCGGCTGTTCACTCAGCAGGTCTTTCCTGAGGCCTACTGTGTGCCAGGCACTGTGAGGTCCCCCGAGGGGACAGGCAGCCACAAGCAAGCACAGAGCGGAGCAGATGCTGATGGGTGCGGGGATGGAAGTGAAACTGTCAGGCAGGATGTGTGAGCCTGTCCCCGTGGGGCCGAGGGTTCCACATGGTGGTGGTGGAAGATCCTTTGAACAGGGAGCATTTGAGCAGAGGCTGAAAGTAAGAGAGTGCGTGAGCCATGTCAGTCTGGCGGGGGGGAAAGCACTTCAGGGGGAAGGAGCCCCTGGCAGCCAGTGGAGCTGCAGCCTGAGGGATGGGCAGAGTTGTTGGAGTCAGCAAGTCAAGACTGGTGGGAACCACGTTCCGCCAGACTTGGTATCCCATGGGAGGACTTTACTCTGAGGGACTCGAAAAGCTTTGGAAGGTTTCTGAACAGAGGCATGACACAGTCTGATGAAAAGCAATTTAGATTTTGTCCCAAGAATTTGATTAGCCAGCAATAGATTACTGAAAAAATTTTTAAACACTTGGACTTAGTAGAAGGAGAAGAATATTTCAACAGGTACTTAAAGAGCATTTGAAGCATTGTACTAGAAGCTAAAGGGGAGACAAAGATGAACAAGACGCAGTCTAGTGGGGGGATCGACTAGGGCAGTGGGGCTCAAACTTTTTGGTCTTAGGGACCCCTTTACACTGTTAAAGTTATCAAGTTCCCCAAGGAGATTTTTTTCCAAGTGGGTTATATCTATCAATACTTACCTATTAGAAATTAAAAATTTTAACCATTTATTAATTCATCTTTAAAATAACATAATAAACATATAACTCAACATATTTTTATGAAAAATAACTATATTTCCAAAGCCAAAAATATTTGAGAAAAACGGCATTGTTTTACATTGAGCAAATCTCTTTAATTTCTGACTCGGTAGAAGATACTTCAGTTCTCATCTCTGTTTCTACATTCAGTCTGTTGTAATTTTACTTGCATGTTGTTTTTGGAAGACTCCACTTACCCCAGGAGGGAATGAGTGTGAAGAAGGCAGATGATGTGTTAGTATTATCACGAAGCTGGTTTGGACCCTGCAGACCCCGTGAGAATTACTGCACTTGGGCAAGCCAAGCAGAAAGGCCTACTGCCTTTAGGTAGAGGTAGGAGGGCTTGAAAGGCCAGAGCAGAGATCAAGGGTGGCTTCATGAGGGAGGGGACATGGAGTGGGCTTTGAAGGATGAATTCTGAGAACAGAGAGTGGCAGGGAAGAACGTTGTTACCTGAGGGAATCGTGTAAGGCAAGGCAAGAAATGCTGAGAATGTCCAGGTGAGCAGTCCAGTGGCTTCCAGCTGGAGGACATGGGAGATTAGGAGAACCATAAATGAAGCCATACTAGAGAATGTATTCCCTAGATTTTCAGGAGGAAGGGGGTGACGTGTTCTGGCCATCATTTTGGAATAGCAATGTGAAAGATGGATTTGAAGGTGAGATTGGGTGGACGAAGAGGAGCCTGTGAGGAAGCGGTCACTGTCTTTTGTCTAAGAGGTGAGGCTTGGGGGAGGGGGGAGATGGTCCAGGCAGGGAGTGAAGGAAAGTGGAGGCACCCGAGGGGTGTGGGAGGATAAAGTTCCCAGGAGCAAAGGAAAAAAGAGCAGGAAAGATTCGAAGGATAAAAAGAGAGAATGAGTTTGGTTGGAGCTGTTCTGATTTGAAGTGGCTTCCTGACGGCCAGGTGGAAGATTGTCATCAGTCAGTGGGAACTTTGGGTCTAATACCCAGAGAGAGGCCCAAACCCCAGGAGAGGGGAGAAATATAGAAGTTGTGAGAAGCGAACAGAACCATAGGAGTGGCTTGGGTTGGCACAGGGGTAGAGCAAGAAGAAGAGTAGGCTGAGGGTCAGGCGGATTACTGTGGACTCAGGGGAAAGCATTTAAAAAGAAGGTTCCTGGGAATTCTGCTGCTTTCAAGCTGAACTTCTGACCATACACTGGCTTTTTTGCCCTCCTGGCTCAGCTTGCTGAGAAGTAGCCACCCCTCTCTGACTCGTTTCATTGACTTGGATTTGTCCACTTGGAGGAGCTAGCCCCCGAGTGAGGAGCACCTGGTCGCAGGGTAGCCGAGGGGAGTTTGGCTCTCACCAGCACAGCTTCCTTGTCAGCCCAGGAATTCCTATAAAGCGACAAAAAAGGCAAAGAGAACTGCCCTTTCCAGAGCCCTGGGGATGTTTGCATGTTGCTGATTAAAAAATCAAACTTAAATCTGCCTGGAAAAAAAAAAGATACGGTGGCTCACCTCTCAGATGCTGTTAGGTATTTTATTCATCTGAGGCTTATTTTGTTCAAAGGGAAGGAGGCTATTTGACGCTTACTTGAAGCCGAGGGGACATGAAGGCAGTCAGGGGGCAGTTCCTTTCCATGGCTCTGCTGCCTTCCCCACTACTTCCCTCCATTGTCAAGCTCAGAATATCCTAATAAGGATCCAACTTTGTAATTCAAATCAAACCCCTTGTTGCTTTTCTGCTTCCTACTCTCGATATCATTTGCTTCATCCCAGTTCCAAAATGACTTTCATCTCTCTTACATTCTTTCTAAAAACGTGCCACCGTGCTCTCTTAACATTTCAGATACATTACCGTCTTCTGTAGGAATCAAAATGAGTGCAACTCAAATGCAACCTCTCTCTTTTTTTTTTAAGCATTTAAATTTCTGAGGGGCTACTCCTCTAAGTGTTCTTCCCCGAGTAGACCAGGGAACTTCAAAGCGTGATGGAAATGACATGGGCTTTGGAACACTGGTGCTGGGTTTAAATCTTGCTCTACCTCTTAGTAACTGAATGACTTTGGGCAAGATACATAACTTGCAGAGCCTCAGCTTTCTACTGGGCTGGGCACTAGGGATCTAGCAGTGAATAAAGATGTAGACACAGTTTCTGCCCTCATGGAGCTCATAGACCACTGGAGAAATGATGGACAGGAGTCATCACCAGATGAGTAGTTACAAGAGATGGAAGAAGGCAGTACATAGGAGTGAGGACTCTGGAGCCAGACTGCATGGAGCCGGGTCCTGGCTCTGTCATGCAACCTCTCTCTGCCTCAGTTTCCTCATCCATAAAATGGATGATGATGATGATAATTCCCATGTCACAGGGTCATTGTGCTGAATAAACAAGTCTACATAAACACTTAGAACAGGACCTGGCTTCATGCGTGTTAGCTACTGTAGTTATTATCCTTATTAGAAGAAAGTGACAAAAAGGCAAGTGTAGGGTGTGTTGAGAATCTAGGAATTGGGGGGCAGGGTGGGGTCTGATTTAGAAGGGAGGGTCAGGGAAAGCCATGTGAGGAAGTGGAAACCTCAAGAGTGAACACAGAGAGAGCAGGAGAAGCATGGAAAGGGAAGCGGCCCAAGGCAGGCAAGAGTTGGTCGGATCTAGAAACTGAGCATGGCAAGGGAGGGTGTGCCGCAGTGTTGTGCAGGCGTCCAGCCAGGGGCACGATGCCCAGAGGCAGGGGCGAGCACGCTGAGTACGAGGGGGCCCCCAGTGCAGCGGCTGCAGAGCCTCGTGTACCTTCTGTCAGAGCACCTGGAGGCGGAGGGTGCTGGGACCGACTCTGCGGCCTCAGTTGTTCTCTGTGCCTGGGGTCTGACACTCAGATATCCAGCCTCCCAGGAAAGTAGTCCAGCTCAAGAGGTGCAGCCTTAGTGCAAAATCCCTACCCTCTGAGGCTGCTGTAGGCCGCTGCCGTGCTCAGAACGTGGCTCCTGGAAGTGACCTGTTTGCTTGTCACACCTACATAAACAGAGTCCCTTTTCAAAAACCTGCAAAACCATGGCCCACAGGCCAAATGTGGCCTGCTGCCTGTTCTTGCACCACCCGTGGGCTAAGAATGGGTTTTGTATTTCTCCAAGTTAAAAAAAAAAGAAAACAACAAAGACAGTCTGTGGCTCACAATGCGTAAAATATTTACTATTTGGCCCTTAACAGGAAAAGTTCCTACCCTTACAGCCCGCCAGAGCTGGAGCGGAAGGCACTTGGGGCTGGCCCACGACAAGGGCATCGTGTTAGAGGAGCCCTCCCTTCCCACTAACGGTGGCTCTTTGATCTTCCAGGACAAATTCTTCAGAAAGACCAGGAAATCAAGGACCTTAAACAGAAGATAGCTGAAGTCATGGCTGTCATGCCCAGCATAACGTACAGTGCCGCCACCAGCCCCCTGAGCCCCGTTTCCCCCCACTACTCTTCCAAATTTGTGGAGACCAGCCCCTCTGGACTTGATCCCAATGCCTCTGTTTACCAGCCCCTGAAGAAATGAAGACCAGCTGCGGGTTTTGCCCAACCATTTGGTTACCAGAAGGCACCACAAAGGAACGTCTCTGGCAGTCAAGATAAAAAAAAAAAAAAAAAAAAGTTTATATTGTATTTTGTGGGACTGTATATGTTGTCGTTTTTAAAAAGGGGGGGAAGATAACATCCAAGTCTGATTAGAACTGCCCATCAGTTTTTCTTGTAAATTTTTAGAAGACCTCACAGAACTTTGCAGTTTATTTTTCTCGGCCAATACATTAAAACCACTCTTGGATTTCAAGTAGCCAATTTTGCCTTTTATGTATTCTTACAGTTTCCTCTTGAAGAAAAAAAAAAAAAAGCAGGGTTTTTGCTTCTCGATCCTTTCTTTTGGTTTTGTTCTTAAATAAGCAAGCAAAACCTGCACATTGGATTCACATGGGATGCTAATGAAAAGGTTTCCTTTCTAGAGGAGGGTTAATAACCTCACACGGCTTTGATTTTATAGCTGCATCACAGAAGATGATTCTTGATATTACAGAAAACAAAAGTTGATTACCCCTCCAAGGACCAAACAAATTCCGGGAGTGTCATTTAAGCCGAGGGGAGCAAGGTGATGAGACTAGCTGTGAGAGTGTCACCGGGGGTTGTGTCGGAAACATTCCTGTTCCCCTCGGGTGTGCAGTCCTAGAAAATTGCTAGCAGTGCCTTGGGAAAAGACATTTCAAGAGGAAACTTGCTGATTTTCAACTGTTTTCCCCCTTTACCATCATCTGTCTTCTGTCTGTGTCGAGCTCACTGCGGATCCTGCTGGAAACTGGTGGGTAGCGGGGCTCTTCGTGACCGTCGCTGCTCCAGCCCCTGTGCCCTTCCAGAGAAGGCACCAAGGCGTTCTGGACTCGTCCTGAGGCAAGCACCTCGGGGCGGGGAGCTGGGCAGAGACTACGGTGACAGCTAATTAACAGGCTGCCGTTCTAAGTTCGGGGTTTGTTTGTTTGTTTAATTGCATTTCATTTAACTGTGCTCTCCTCTCTTCATCATTTTGTGTTTGATGATTTAAAAGAAACGACTATTCCTCAGCTCTCGTGCCAAGGAGGGTTTTTTTTTTAAGAGTTTTAAACTCAAAACTCTGCACAAAGATTTCAGTATCAAGTGTACATCAGACACTTGGAGAAAAGTGTTTGGCAACTTTTGGAAGTGTTTAAGAATCAGGGTGGGGGCGGGGGGGCTGGGAGCGGGAGGGGCAAAGCAAAATTGTATTGGGAAACTAGGAAAATTAAGAAACCAAATAGATTGTTTTGGCTTCCTTGCCATGGGTTCTGGAAGGACACAGTTCTTCTCAAATTTCCTGTTAATTGGCATGTGCGTCATATTTAAAGCAGATTAAGTAGGACAAGCAAGTCAGCAAAATAGAAGTATTAAAAAGAATCATCCTTTTAATCACAGATCTTATTTTGGGGTTAAAAAAACTTCTAGCTTTAGCCAGGTGTGCATGTTGCTGCCATTTTGCATTTTTGAATCATCCTGTGTAATTGTTGCCATGGAAGTGTTACTCAGAATTGTCATAGGTTTTTTTCATCTTTGTGCAAAAACATGGAAAATTGTCCCTGACTTTGTGTTGAGGTTTCCCCCATTTTGCTGCCTTTGGGGACACAATTTCGTTAAACACGTGGTCTTGGCTGCATTCTTTTTTTTTTTTTTTCCTGTGGGGTTCAAAAGAATAAACATTTTCTTACAGATAAAACTAGTTTTCTGCCTTTTTAAACTTTGCAGGAGGGACAACAAGGTAGATTGTTCTGAACGGGCCCTCGATGGTCGCTCTTGCTCTCTCCTCATCTCGGCACCCTGTTAGGGGGCAGTGCCCCATGTGGGGGGCAGAAACAGGATTTGGGATGAATCCATGCAGGGTCTAAAGTTGTTTTTAGTTCTAGTCCAACTTAAGACATATGCATTCTCATTCTGTCTCCCTCATGCTTCCCTCTCTTCCCCTCCCTCCCTCCATCTTCCCCCCCCCCCCCCCCCACTTTCTTTCTCCCTCACATATGGTTAGAACCACGGCTGACTTGTTTTCTGGTACAACCCTCCTTTCCTGAAAAAGCAAGTTAGGGGTGGGGTTGGAAGGTAGTTGGCAAGAAAATCTTTTGAGAGCAGATTTCCTTCCCATTTTCCAGAATCTTTTGGGGCCACTTGGTGACCAGTAGCCTGTTGGGTTTCCTATCTGCTCTAGATCCTGAACTGACCTCCAAGATAGCCACTTACAAGTCCTCCTGTGTTTCTGGAGGCTTTGTCTGTTTTACATCTTCTGAGAAGCAGCTGCCTCTCTTGGTCCTTGCTTTCCTCTCTTGGCCATTGTTAGAATTGATCTTGGCTCCGGTTTTGGAAAATTCTGCTCTTGGCACCTCACCCTCTGTCCCTGTTGCTGGATAGCCCGAGTCTCAGCCACTTCGGCTCAGCCACTTTGGCTCTCGCAGACACGCCACACTTAATACCATGAGCAGAGCCCCCTCCCCCCCCCACCCCCCACCCGGGGGGAAGCACCTTGGCTTGGCTTTTGCCTTCACCTTCCCCGGAGGAACGTGTCTGCCCACAGCATTCTCACTGGCACGTTCTTTTCCCCCAGAAAATCTCCTGTTGTTGTCTTTGTTGTTATAGGTCCATGACGAAGGGGTTCCACTTCTTAGTACACTAGAATTTATGACCTGCCATAAAGCCATGTTTGCCATTCTGTATGGTTAAATATTGACAGAAGGAGCGGGCTGAGTGTGTTTTCACTGGCTGAATAACCTCTCTTTATTGACATCCCCCAACTTGACAAGGAAGTAGCTGTCATGTGTCCATTCTCTGTGATAATCTTTCCTATAAAGTGAGAATGAACAATGCCTCCGGGCTCTGGGCCTGAAGGAAGGGACTAGTCCTCTCTCCTCCCATCGCAGCTCGCGGGCTCACCTGGCTCTGTTCAGGGGGGTGATGGCCAGCCACCCGGGAGGGCCGAACCTTCTCAAGGCAGCTATCAGATGGCTTCTTGCGAAATTCACATCACACTAGATGGAGCCGAAGAGGGACACCGGAAGCCTACCCAGAAGCCAATTCAGTGAAGCCCATCTAGTAAAGTGTTGTCAGGCGGGCCGGGCTGTGACGGCTAGAGGCAGCCAGGTAAGTGCCGGCCTTGTTTCTCTCAGTGCCTACCCCTTGTTTCTCTCAGTGCCTACCCCTTGTTTCTCTCAGTGCCTACCCCTCTGAGCGGGCTTCCTCAGGGGCCTGCGGCGCTTGCCCAGGGGCACCCTGCTCTAAGGGCTCCGGCCCACCCCGAAGCCTGGTGGCTTAGGCAAGCCCTCTAGACACAGATGGGAGTCTGCTCCCAGCTTTTCAGCCACCAGCTCCATGACCCCCCTTAACCTCTCTGGGGGGTGTGGTTTCCTCACCTTCAAGGAGCCTTGTTCCTTGCTGCCCTGCCTCCTGGAAGGAGTTGCCATGAGAACTAGGTGAGCTGACACAAAAGAGTGTTCTGCAGACTATCCAGGACCTCCCAGATGGAAGTCCAGAACTGTAGCAAGGAGTCTTGGAGGGGCAGGGACCTGGCTGAATTCCCGTTCCTGGGGCTAGCTCCCTGCCCCACAGCCTGACTCCCCTGAAAGCTCTCCCCAGCATGCCCCCCATCGGAATCTGCATTTTAACAGGATCCCCAGAGGATTCCCTTGCTTTGCAGTGTTAATTGCTTAGAAGCCCCATCCTGAGCTGAATTTCCTAACCTGAAGATTAAACACTGTCACTCTCTCTCTTCTAGATCAGAAAGAGCCAACGCTCAGACTTTGAAAATTCAGAGTTAAGAGCTTGGTAGAGGGTGGAGGGGCAAACTGGAGATGAAGAGCCCTAAGCTTTATACATTTTGCTTATTTTGTTTATTACCCCCCTCCCCCATTGGAGTGCAAGCTCTGTGAGGGCAGGGGTGTCTGTTTACTGCTGGAACCCTCGAACCCAGGGCAGTGACTGCTACATAATAGGTGCTCAGGAAACATTTACTGAGTGAATAAGGTTACTAGGTTAGACGTGTAATCTGAACTCCTGTGTCTTAACAGAGCGCCTCTGGAACAGTGCTGTTAGAATGACACTGTACACAGAACTGTTTCTAGAAGGAGACGGGAAAATTTGAAGTGGCATATTTACTATGACATCTTCCATCTGCCTGTCTCTGGTTTCTGCCGAAACCTTGTTTCCTTGTCAGATTTTCTCTACAAACGCCTGCTTGATTTAGCCAGGTGCAAAGATTTCCTAAACAGCTGGATGCACGGAGAACACTCACTTCTCTGTCAGGGAAACCTCACCGCAGGGAACCTGCTGGGCCCATCCATCCATCCATCCATCCATCACCCAGTTGGAGTCTTAGACTCTATTTCCCCAAGTGCTGGCCCCACTGCATCTTGAGTCAGTGTGGGGATTTTTCATTTTGACAGTAATCGCATTATAAAGCATTTCCTCCAGGAAGGTTAAATGAATGTCTCGAAGATCTCCTTCCGTCTGACTACAGAGGCCACACTTCTCTTCTTGCCTCCCTCCTTCCTTGGGCTTACTCTGTTCCTGCTTTATTCCTGTCTCAGTGCTTGCTTTTCACTCGTCTGCCTTTGCCCGAGGTTCAAATCTTACATCCCCCGCAGGATGGGCTTCACAGGGTTCTGGAATCACCCTGCCAGTGTACCTCTGATTTTTGTCCGAAGAATCCCAGGCATAGCTTCACACGATGTGCTGTGGCCTTTGAAGTCCCACCCAAGAAGCCTGACGGGTTTGTTTACCCGGCCTACCCCTCTTCCCTAGCTCTGCAGCGCCAGGAGCCTGAGGGTCGAGCGGGAGGCCAGACAGCGTGCCAGTGACCTTTATGAGATGCGTCCCGCCTCCCTCTTGTCCTGGGAGTCCTGGCTGTTGTGACACGCTACCTGGGACCGGACCCGAGCTTACCTAGAACAAGTTCTCAAACTTCAGGGTTCATCAGAACCACCGGAATGGCTTGTTAAAACCCAAATTGCCAGGTCCCGCCCCCAGTGGTTCTGATTCAGGAAGTCTAGGATGGCGCCCGGGAAAATGTGTTTCTTACAAGTTCCCAAGTGAGGCTGGGTCCTGGGACCCCACTCTGGGAACCACTGCCCTGGGCCCAGCCCGGCCTGAAGCCATCCCCTCCAGCTGCCACCAGAGGGCACCTGCGGCCTTAGCCAGGGGTCCTTTCTCGCCTCTGGCGGCCGCACCGCTGCACGGCAGAAATTCTCCG